AATGTGCAGTTCACAGTGTGTTCCTACTCCTGTGAGAATCTAATGCCACCCCTGTTCTGACAGGAGGCAGGGCTCAGGCAGGAATGCCCGCGATGGGGAGCAGCTATAAGTACAGATGAAGTTTTGCTGGTCTGACCACTACATGCCTCCTGATGTGCAGCCCACAGACCAGTACCAGTCCATGACCCAGGGGCTGGGGACCCCTGATTTAGAGCCACCATCATCTTAAACTGAAGGTATTCTGTCCCAACCCAAAATCCAACTCCTCATCTCTGGGTGGTTCCTTTTTCTACCAATAATACCACTTTATCATGAAACTTTTCAGGTCTTCCTTGTTGATTATTCCTTTAAAATATGTCTCTCTCCCACTCATTTCTTTGTCTTCCCACACCAGGACCCAGGCACTCATCTCTTCCTCATTGGTTTTTGTGCCTCTGGTCTCCCTTTTCTAAGATATTCTGTACATCACTGCTAACACAATATGTGATCTTTCTAAATTATTCATTCCATCAGGTCAGCCCTTGATTCCCCACAGCTTTAATTCCTGGCACACAGTAAGTTGTTAAGAACTGTTGCAGGAACTCGATGATTGGTGAATGTGAGGTTTCAGTTTTGTTTTAGCTTAAACATGTGATTCACTAAACTTGAACTCATAACTGTGGAACTGTACTTCTTTTAGGTTTATTTTACTTACAACTATTAAGTGAGGCATTGTAAAACAACTGCTGATAGTGAAATAAACTAAGGAGATGAAAGTTTTAAGGACATGTCTATCCTGTGGAGCAATTTGAAGTCATAGTCTAACTTTCACATCACAAAAACTTGGATCATTCACAATGTATGTCTTAAGTTGAAGACACTGATTTTCATAATCCTCACTTGCAAATCAGCTTCATTATTTTCTCCATCTCTATGTGTGCACAACCCTTCTTCCCATTCTTTTATTTTTAGATCCAGCCAACCTGCCAATCTTCTGTGAGCTGCTCATGAACAAGACCATCCCTAAACAGAATTATAGCATTAGGGGTTTCTGCTTCTGTGTAAATGTTTGTAAATTACCTAAATTCATTGAACAAGTGGAATTGAATGAATTTACATCAAAAGGAAGTTTTACATGAAGTGTTCAGTGTTTCCATTTGGGTTGCAAGTGCTTTCTCTTCTTCTGCATTCCCCCATCTTGGATTTGCAAAAGTTGTGACATCATGGGGATTGGGATGGGGAATACATGTAAAACCATGGCTGATTCTTGTCAATGTATGACAAAAACCACTACAATATTGTGAAGTAATTAGCCTCCAACTAATTAAAAAAAAAAGTGTGACATCGTAACTTTCAACCAGGTTTCTAAGAACTTCAGATAAATCACGGAGCCCAAAATTATACATGTAATCCAAATTCACAGATTGAACAAAACCAATGAGTTGGTTAAAACAGTTCCGGGGGTGATTCTGGTATATCATCTCTTCTCATTTATCCCAGTTCTTTAGCAGAGCTATGTCTTAGAGCCCAAAGTATCAGCTGATAGGAGAGTTTGCTTTGCTCTCTGGGCTTAATTTTTATAGGTACTCCTGAAACTCTACAACTTGCTGATAAGTGACTGAAAATAAGGCAAATGAGGTAGAGTCGCTAGGTCTCCTCTGGCGGCTTTGGATGAGTGTGGATAATTAGCTTCTGAATGACTGACTGCAGTCTGCATGTTTCTCTAGGTCATAGCTGGAAGGTCTTTAAGCTCCCCCGACTACACTCTGCACTTCCTAATGGTGCGCTGGGGGTCAAGTTGCCTGTGTTCCAAGCAGACTGAGAAGAAATGTGGGAAGTTCTCTTATGTTTCAAAGTTATTTAAAGCCTGTATGGCTCTTCAGCTGTGGTAGGCTATTCTTGCCAATAAGCTAAATTTAACATTTCTCTCAATGTGCTGCAATGAGGTTGCTACTATAAATTGCTGTTGTGTAGACTGCAACTTCAGAGAGTGATTCTATGTGCAGAGGGCTCCAAGCCAACTTCTTGACAATCTTGCCTGCAGCCAGTGTGATAATACTAGAAATTACTTACTCTTCAGCACAAGACAACACCTGTAGCAGAGTCTGAAAAGACCCAGCAACGACCTACGTGCCAGTCCTGGCTGAAGTGGAAATCAGCAGGAATATATGACAAAAAAACATGAAAAATGCAGGTACTTCCTTTGTATGTCTGATGGTGAGCATTATTTTAAAAATCAAAGGATTAAAAAAAATAAATAAAAATGAAAGAATTATTTTTATGTGGGAGCACTGTTTCCTTCTGAGGGCTTTTTGAACATTCAATTTAGTATTATGAAGCTTTTGTTATTTGAATTAGGAAATGTCAAATGAGTATATATTGTAGATTTGATTCAGTCTGTACCATATAATGACGAGCCTTAAGTGTGGCAATTTGAGGCATATTTTATAGAGACTTTTGGGGAAAATGCAAGTTTTTTTTTTTAATGAATTAATGCTTCTGATATTCAAAAACACAGATTTTAGTTTACTGTTGGCTTGTGTTCCATAAGTCCGATTTGAACAATCAGTTATAGTGGAAATGCCAAGGACTTGTGGAAAAAAAGCCAAACCTGGTTAAAATTTGGTATATTATTTCTTAGCTGGATAAAGTCCCTTAACCTTTCCGAGACTCATTTTACATGTGTGTGGGAAGAATGCTATCTCCCCGAGTTGTTACAAAGCTTAAGGGGAATATATGTAAAATGCAAAGCATAACACTTGAGACATAAAGTGAAAGAAAGTGAAGTCGCTCAGTCGTGTCCAACTCTTTGCGACCCCATGGACTATAGCCTACCAGGTTCCACCGTCCATGGGATTTTCCAGGCAAGAATACTGGAGTGGGTTGCCATTTCCTTCTCTAGATCTTCCCAACCCAGGGATTGAACCCGGGTCTCCTGCATTGTAGGCAGACGCATAGTAAGTTTTCAATTAAGTACAGTAATAGATTAGCAGTAGCAGTTGTCAGAACTTAGAATTAATAGTAGGAAGGTAGGTTACTTCTGCTATGCATTAAAATGAGATTTTGTGGATCAGCCTAGAAATCCCATCTAAATTTTAAAACCAAAGTGAACAAGATTTTCTTCTTAAATTAAGGTTCAATTCCAAGATACAAAGCTGTTTCAGACCAACTTTTAAAAAAATCTCATGAGGGCATTAGCCTTTGGGGGAAGAAGCTTGTGGTTTTACAAGCTAAAGGAGCTTGTTGATTAAGAGAAAAGCCACTGGAAATAGTGGCAGTGTCCTTGACCTGAAAGCCAGGCACCTGCCAGTATTTGAGAAAAAGCAAAACAGAGACAACTTTTATTCCTCTTTTCACGTCTCCAGAGCTTCCGAGTTCATCAGTGAGTCCTTGGGGGCTCCCTCAGGGATCAGCCCCACTTCACAGATGCAGAATCAGCTGCTTGAAGTCACACAATGGGTTAACAGCCAAGTGGAAGCTAGAGTTAGTCCATTCTACTTACAGAAACATATGCGGAGTGTGTGCCAACAGTGGGCACATGGCCACAAGGCCTCCTCCCCAGCCCCTGCCCCCAAACCACACACCCTCTAAGCCTCCTTCTGCAAGATCGCAACTGTCCCTTTGGAACAAGTAGGGCTCCCTCCCCGTCTTTGTCCATTTGCCTCTATAACAAAACATCAGTACCATAAAGCGGATGGCTTGTAAACAAGTTATTGCTCACAGCCCTGGAGGCTGGAAGTCGGTGCATCTGGGCCAGGAGAGGGCCCCCTCTCTGGGCTGCAGGCGTCTGGTGGTGTCCTCATGGGGAGGAGCTCTCTGGAGCCTCTTTCAGGAGTCCCTAATCCCTGCTATAAGTGCTCCACCCTGGAGGCTAAAGCATCTCCCAACAGCCCTGCCCACTGAAACCATCACATCAGACATTAAAATTTCAACAAATTAATCTGGGGGTGGGGCACAAACATTCCGAGCTTTGCACTCCCTTTAACCAGTGCTCAGGTATCCTGGAAGGTCTCAGAAAACAGGAGTGATTTCTTGTTACAAGGCAGAGAGGTGCTGGGAATTCCAGAGAGTCAGCATCACGCAGATTTGAGTATTTGTATTGTTGACTACATGCTAGTTGACAACTAACAGTCAGTTGGGTACCTCTTGAAGCACCAGAAGTTAAAGTGTCTAATTTTCTACAATTCAGTAACATTCTGTTATTCTCTTTAAAAAGGCTTTTTAACTGTTTTTTTTTTTAAACATCTTTTTAAATTGAAGTTTAGTTGATCTACAAGTGTTTCAGACTTAAAAACACACACGCAAGAAAAACTCTCATCCCAGTTTTGGAGAGCTGTAGGGCAAGGCCAAAACAAACACCCAAAACAAACACAGACATATATTCGAACGGATGTTCAGGTTTCAAGAGCAGATGTACAGCTTCACTTTTTTTTCTCCCTCCTGCAGTGTTCACAACATTTTAAGAAGAGAGTCTCTGATGAAATAAATTGAGGTATTGAGGTTTTCAAGATTCAGATCACGAGTGGGTTTTATTACTTTCCTCCAAAGCGTAATATATTGCTGGGTTTCTCTTCCAATATCTAAACAGCTATTAGCTTTGTGAAACTGTGTTCTCTTGCCCAAAGAGGAAATTCTAATTAACTCAAAGCACTTTGATTCAACCTCTAAGCCATTTACAGACTGGGGGTTGTGCTACAGTTAGTTTTCGTGTTTTTTTTTTTTTTTTCTGAAGTCCTTTGTTAGCTTCATAAAACTTCTATGGATATGAATCTTAATAGATTTCAGCCCTGTTCTATTTTCACATTCCTGCTTGTCCTAGGGGAGTAGTATAGTGTGCTTACTGTTGGTCTGGCATGCAGCTGGAAAAAGAATGTCAAGTTTATGGGAGAGGGGGGTGGGGTCCCTGCCTGTTTCTGCTGCCAGAAATGTGTGTCTTGCAACTCCGAGGTTTTGTGCAAGACATGATATGAAAGGAACTGAAACAGCAGCCTTGGCCCATGAAATGGCGAGTTTGGGGAAGGATGTTAAGGGACGGGATTGAGGCTAAGCCCTTGGACGTCTTCCTTTCGTCCAGGCCCCTCAGCTGCTCCAGGCATCGCTTTCCTTCCGGCCCGGCCGAGCCTCTGGGCTGCGGCATTTCAGTTCCTGCCTCACCCACTCGGCTACCCTCCTCACTCGGTGGTCCAGTGCCCCCCGCGCCCCGCGTGTGGCGAGTCAGCCGGGTGGCCTGCTCTGCAGCCTCGCCCCGCCTGGCATGCTGGCCTGGGCCTGTGCTGCCCGGCTGCACCCAGCGTGCCGCAGAGCTGGGCCTGCAGGCCAGACCTCTGTCCTGACTTCCAGCCCCATCTCCTCCCATTTAGCGCGAAGACTCACTTAGACATCCCAGGCGGAGTTCACCTATGTCTCTCTTAAACTTCCAACTCCTTGGATGACCATCAAGACCTTAAGGTCCTTGAGGGGGGGCGGGGGAAGAGGAGAAATCAAAAGCCAAGGACCTGGCATCTTTCGCCTCGAGGCCCTTCTCATCCAGAGCTAATCAGAGCCTAGTGCATCAGAAAGCAGGCACTGTCTGCTTTGCTCTTCAGTAACCTGGTGATCTCAGTAGCTCTGTGCAGAAGGTCAAGACTTCAGGATGGGACACGTTCATTCATTCATGGTGTCAGCAATGATGCCAGATATGGGCCTGGAACATGAACAGCTCCTTAGATAAATAAAGACAGGTTGTGCTATTGTCCTTACATGCACCGCAAGATTGTAAAGATTTCTTGAATAACCAGTTTCCCTGGGGAATCTGCTTTCCTTCTAAATGTCTGTGCACTGCCCACACCTCCTTCCGTGGGAGGAATTTGCATTTAGAGCATTATCTCAACGTATAACTTTTGAAAGGGGCTACAAAGAAGGCTGTAGATTTCCTTTGGGATCAATATAAAGCCAATGTCACATTGCACAGGAAAAAATCATATGCCTCAGCTTCCCTGCTGGCTCAGATGGTAAAAAATCTGCGTGCAATGCAAATATGGGTTTGATCCCTGGGTTGGGAAGATCCCTGGGTTGGCAACCCACTCCAGTATTCTTGCCTGGAGAATGCCATGGACAGAGGAGCCTGGTGGGCTACAGTCCACAGCGTCACAAAGAGTCGGACACAACTGATCGACTAACACTTCCAACACTTTTTGGCCAGGAAAGAACTACGGGATTAGGAGTGATTAAATCTTACCCGCCGGGCTGAGCTGTTGGGAAGGATTGAGTTGTGGGGCAGGTTCCAGGAGCCGTTGACGGCCTGGCCCTTGGCTTTCTGAAAAAGAACATGATGATTTGGGTTTTACTTCTTCAACCAACAAAAATGGTCAAAAAATTAAGGTGCCCATGTTGAGTTTGGCTGCTCTGCAGGGATTCGTTCAAGTAGAAAGAGCAAGGAGCCAGGAGAGAGCTTGAGTTCCTCTGAGCCTGTGATCTGAACCAGGTGACTCTGTTTTCCCGGCTTCAGTTTCCTTGATTCCTGTATTCCATGTAAAGTCATCTTGGATCTCTAGTGAAACACTCAGGAAAGTCACACTTGGGATAAATATGTTTCTACAGCACAGACAGACCATATCTTTAAGACCTTGTGATTCTGATTCTAAGAATTCCTGTATTTTGGGGAGGTGGGTGTTGTTTTTTTTTATTTTTAATTTATTTTTTAATTGAAAGATAATTGCTTTACAGAATTTTTTCGTTTTCTGTCAGAGGGTGTATATGCACACCTATGGGTGATTCACGCTGTAGTTTTGTTTTTCAGAGTGATGCTTGGATTTGAAGTACTTTTATTACTTGTTGGATGTGAAAACTTAATTTTAAATTAATAACTTCAGGATTATTGGCTGCGAGCTCCTGGTCACCAGGCCCCCTTACTCAGAATAATGGTGTATGTGAAACTGGAGCGTTGTGTCCTGGGGGGTCTATGAGCCCTAAGGAGCGGAGGGGTGTGTCAGAGTCAGGACGAGGGAAGGGCCTCCACCGAGAAGGGGAACGGGCCGTGGGGCAGCTGGGGAGGGTGGCTGGGCTGGAGGCCCGTCAAGTCAGAGCAGGCCACTCGCGCCGGAGACTCGGGCGGCTCCACCGCCCAGGGTGGACCTGCGGCGCCCCCTCAGCCTGCAGGACCCGCGCTCCGCCGAGCCGCTTCTCCAGACCGGCCCCGGCCTGGTTCTGGCCGCGGGGAACCTCCGCCTTCCCGCAGTCTGCCGCTGTCCTCCCAGCGCTCACGGCCTCACTTTCTTCAGGCTTCTACTCAAATGCCGGCTTATCGGTGGGACCTTCCCTGACCTCCCCAAAGTCAAGGGCACTCCTGCTCCCACTTCCTTGGCTCAGGGCCCCTTTCTTTCCCTTACCTGCCTTTCTGGTTCTAAAGCCCCTGCATGTATGTGGGTGAAGTCACTTCAGTTGTGTCCAACTCTGTGAGACCCCATCCACAGACTGCAGCCCCCCAGGTTCCTCTCTTCATGGGGTTCTCCAGGCAAGAAGACTGGAGTGGGCTGCCATGCCCTCCTCCAGGGGATCTTCCCAACCCAGGGATTGAACCTGCATCTCTTACGTCTCCTGCATTGGCAGGCCGGGTCTTTACCACTAGCGCCTCCTGGGAAGCCCTCTCATGCCCCTGCCACCACCTAAGGTTGACTGTTTTTCAATCTGTCCTCCTCAGGTGAACATCAGATGCAGGGGAGAGGGGATACCTATCTGTTACGGTATCATCAGCACCTAGAATTGGCCCATGGTAGATGCTTCACTTTCACTTTTCACTCTCCTGCATTGGAGAAGGAAACGGCAACCCACTCCAGTGTCCTTGCCTGGAGAATCCCAGGGACGGGGCAGCCTGGTGGGCTGCCATCCATGGCTTTGCACAGAGTCAGACATGACTGAAGTGACTTAGCAGCAGCAGCAGATTCTCAATAAACCATTTTTTTTCCTTTTATTTCTTAATTTTTATTGGAGTATAGTTGATTTATAACGTTGTTAGTTCGGGTGTATAGAAATGAGAATCAGTTATACATATACATATATCCACTCTTTTCTAGATTCTTTTCCCATATAGGTCATTACAGCATAGCCTCCCCTGGTGGTTCAGTCATAAGAATACAAATTCACTTGCCATTGCAGGAGACTCAGGTTTGATCCCTGCATCAGAAAGATCCCCTGGAGAAGGAAATGGCAACCCACTCGTGTTCTTGCCTGGAGAATCCCATGGACAGAGGAGCCTGGCGGGCTACAGTCCATGGGGCTGCAGAAGAGTCGGACACGCCTTAGTGAGTAAGCAGCCACATTGCAGGGTATTGAGTAGAGCTCCCTGAGGTCTGCAGTAGGTCCTTATCAGTTATCTCTTTTATATATAGCAGTGTGTAAATGTCAATCCCAAGCCCCCAACTTCCCCCTCCCCCGCCCCTCACCCAACAAACCATTACTGAATGAAGAAAAGCAATGTGTCTGAGACTTGCAGAAATAGAGGTGTCTCGGTTCCATCAAAGAGGAGCCAGACACAAGCGACTGAACACTGCAGGATCCACGGGGCGGCCCGGGGGACAGACGGGGAGTCTCTGGCATTTGGGAGTTGGGGTGGGGCGCCGTCAGGGAGTGAGGAGTGAGAGACCAGAGCCAGGCCTGCGTCTCGGGGACGCCAGCCCTGAGGCGCGGGTGACCGGGACAGACCTGTGAAGGGGGCCCAGCAGCGGTAGTGGCTGAGGGCAAAACCATCGGCTGCGCGAGGGCAGCCCTGGGCGCAGGACAGACCGCCGGCGCTGGGGGTGAGGCTGGGCCCTTGGAGCGGGCTCCCTCGTGCCCCAGGGGCGAAGCCGGGCGGCGGTGAGCCGAGGGCCGAGGCGAGCCTGAGACCAGAGAAGAAGCGGTGGTGGAGGACTGAGCTGAGGCAGGAACAGCAGCCTTCTTCAGTGAGACGGGAGGTGAAAGGCGTCTGCTGATGGAGCGAGACCGGGAGGTGGATGCAGACCCGCGGGCACAGATGAGGCCCCGAGGGGAAGCCGCGCGCTCTGCGGTTGGCACAGGGGGCAGGCAGGCGCAGAGGAGAGCCGGCCCCGACGGGACCCGGGCCGGGGTGGCGGCGGAGGCCCGGCGCCCTCGGCCCCCAGCAGCCGCATCACCACCAACTCAATGCAGAAGGGATGCTCTCTGGCTGGCGAGAGGCCAGAAGTCGGGGATGGATTTCCAAACAGAAGGTCAGCTTTGGGGAAGGGGTGACATGGGTGCCCAGCGGTGGTCAAGGCCACCTAGGACTGGGGATCACGTTTCTTTTCTTCTTCTTCTTTTTAAAAAAAAAAAATTATTTTTTTTTAATACAGAACACGTCAGCAATCTGTGTGACATCCTTGCCGGGCGGCGAGGGACAGGCTAGTCTTCTCTGGATCGTTCCACGTTGAGTGCATTCACTGCCGCATCGAGCCGAGACCGCGAGTCTCGGAGCAGCCCCGGTGTTTCGTGTTTGGCCGCCAATTTCCCGGGGCAGGGAGATCACCTGGGGATCTTGCTAAAAGCTGTGAATTCGGACTCATCGGGCCTGAGATCTGCAGGCCCAGGAGCTCCGCGTGAGGCCGAGGCGGCGGGCCTCCCGTGGAAGGTGTTGGGGGATGTTCTTCGCCGGCATTCAGCGGCCCGTCCTGCGTCAGAGCGCGGGGCAAAGGGGCCTGAGGGTCGCCAGGTGGGCTCCGACAGAAGGGAGGGGAAGGGAGGCTGAGGCGGCTGGAAGGCCAGGCCGAGGCGAGGCGCTTCGGCCTGGAGACGCTGGAGATGGATGCGAACACCATGGAAGGAGGCGCCTGAACGGTGAGCGCGGCGGAACCAGAATCGGAGGTGAGTGCGCAGCGGGCCTGCGCTCGCTGGACCAGACCGGGTCCTGGGCGCCGGGGTGTAAGTGCATCTCCCCGGGGCCGGTACACGAGAAACAGGGAAGGAAAAATGCCAGCCGTCTACAGTGCCTTCTAAGCACACACGAGTGAGCCAAGGGCATTAACGTTCTTACCCTCTTTACGTAATTTCTACGTAGTTAAACGTCTCTTCTTTTTCCTGTTATCCTCGTTCCGGATTTTAAATGTCGACTGGGCCGAGATTTTACTTTGGAGTTAACACGTATACCCTGATGCTGGGAAAGATTGAGGGCAGGAGGAGAAGGGGACGACAGAGGATGAGATAGTTGGATGGCATCACCGGCTCAATGGACATGGGTTTGGGTAAACTCCGGGAGTTGGTGATGGACAGGGAGGCCTGGTGTGCTGCGGTTCCTGGGGTCGCAGAGGCGGACATGACTGAGATGAACTGAGCTGACAGGCATACAGCCCTGCATGGCACAGGCGGCTTGGCTGGTCAACGTGCGGAGGGGATTCCCTGGCCGTCCAGTGGGTGGGGCTCGGGTCTGTCTCTGGTTTGGGAGCTAAGATGCCGCAAGCCCTGGGGAGGCCAACAATAAAAACAAACAAAAAACCCAAGTATTGAAATACTTTTCTTCTGGGCAAGCACATGGACTTAAATGATCCATGATTGTAATCATTCTTTATCAGGAAAATCTGTTAGCATCATCTTTACATTGTTTTGCAGTTATTTTTCTTTGGAATAGGGCATCACCCACATGCCTAGAAACACAACTCTGCTAAAACACTGAAATATGTGGCCAGCCCGTAGTCTTAAGAATTAGTGTCCAATTATACTGTATTTTAAATTATTTTTTGTTGATATACAGCTGATTTACAATGTTTTAAATTCCTGCTGTGCAGCAAAGTGACTTAGTTATACACATATATATGTTCTTTTCTATATTTTCTGTTATGATGTAGCCCAGGAGACTGAACGTTGTTCCCAGTGTTACACAATAGGACCTTGCTGTCGATCCATTCCCTAAAATAGTTTACATCTGCTCATCCTCACCTCCCAGCCCTCCCCTCCCTCCCCCGCCTCCCCTCTGGCAGTCACAAGTCTGTGATAGGTTCGCGTGTGTCATATTTTAGATTCCATGTAAAAGTGATATCATATGGTGTTTGTCTTTCTCTGACTGCACTTAGTGTGAACATCTCCAGGGCCGTCCATGTTGCTGCACATGGCATCATTTTGTTCTGTTTGTGACTGAGTAATATTTCATTATACATATATGTACCACATCTCCTTTATCCATCCCTCTGTCCACGGACACTTAGGTTGCTTCCATGTCGTGACTCTTGTGAATAGTGCTGCTGTGAATATAGGGGTGCATGTGTCTTTTCTAATGATACTTTTTTTCCCCAGTGATATGCCCAGAAGTGGGATTGCTGGAACATTAGGGCAACTCTCCTTTTAGTTTCTGAGGGACCTCCATACTGTTCTACATAGTGGCTGCACAGATTTACATTCCCGGTTATACTATTTTATATCAAGATCTCTTATATTTGAAGGATTCATTATTAACTATTGTTAGGACTTGGTAGTGCCTGATGGTAATACAGACGCTAAAGTAGGGCCCCTCCCCTCGGCTCTAATCAGAGACTAAGATACACATGTGTGTGTTAGGTGTCTTACAAGCAACATGAGGCAGTGTGGTTAATTAAGTACCAGGAAGAAAAAAACTAAGAACTTGTACTAAAGGCACCTTGAAAGGAAAGGTGCTTGCTTAGTCGCTAAGCCATGTCCAACTCTTTGTGACCCACGGACTGTAGCCCACCAGGTTCCTCTGTCCATGGGGATTCTCCAGGCAGAATACTGGAGTGGGTTGCCATGCCCTCCTCCAGGGGATCTTCCCAGCTCAGGGATTGAGCCCAGGTCTCCCACATTGCAGGCGTATTCTTTACCATCTGAGCCAAGTCCAAGTAATTCAAAACAAAAAGCAGTTACCAGATTTTTCTGCTTTAGGATCAATTTGAAGGTATGATTTCCAATTAGCATTAACCCTAACTCTGCCTTGATTGCTAGGTCTTTTTCAAAACCTGAAACCAATATTAGCAGTTACCAACCAAACTAAAACTGAACATTTTTAATTACTCCTTTAAAATCGTGTATCATAAACTTTCAAGCACACACAAAAGCATAAAGAGCAATATACAAAATAACTATTCTCTTACTCACCAATCTTTATCCCAATAGGTACTTGGTGAATGTTTGTTGAATGAAGAAAGGATTCTCATTTATTATTTAATACCTTTGTATCCTTGGAGCCAAGGATGATGTTTTACATTTGTTTTCTTTTCCATAGTGCTGTTCAATGATGCTTATGTGGTTGGTGTTCAATCAGTACTTGTAGATTGGCTGATTATTTAAGGTCTAGGCTTCCTATGTTTGTAGTTGCTTTTACACTTGAGCCCTAACTGGTAGCTTTTTTTCCCCCCACTCTAAGCGAATTTTAACTTAATTGAAATGGTTTTAATTGTAACATATTATTGATGAAGTACACCTCTAAAATTTGAAAGCGAGAGAAGCTAAAAATCATTTAAGCTATAGCTTTTACTGGATTTTATTATTACATCCTAACATCTTTTATTGCTAGCTTCTATTTTTAATGTTTGAATTAGAAATTTGTTTAAAGCCCTGATTTTTAATTAGAGTAAGAATAACTCAAAAATCTGATACTGCAAAATGTTTAAACACAGGTTTCTCTTGTAAGGGGAAAAAGAAGACTTGGCTTTTTCAAGGTCCTCTGTGACTGCTACAGGTGCCACAAAATCCCAGAAATTATTCCCATGCTGCCACATGCATTTATTTTCAGCTTCTTCCTCTGGTTCACTGTTTCAACATGGCTGGAAATCTCTGGGGTCCTTGTGGTATAGATTCCCAACTCTCATCTCAGTCGTCTTGTGTCCCAAGCAGGATGAGGGGTAGCAGGTTGACGCCAGCATCTTTAAGGTCTCCCTGTGCTTCTTCAATGTGCTAAACTTGGTAAGTGTTAACTGCTGCTATCTTAGCTCCGGGTTTCTTGTTCAGCTTTCCCTCTCACAGTATCTTTCCATTTCTGTTCCCATTTCCTCCTTTGCTGATCCTTCCATACCCCATCCCTGCTCCCACTCTGGCCCCTCCCTCAAGGGTCTCTTTCCTCCTCCATGGCCCCCATGATCCACCTCCCAGTTCAGAAACTTAAGGGTAGCCCGGCTCACAGAATCACTACCCCTCCTCACTTAAGTCTCAGGGGATGTAATCACCCAAGACACTGGAAATCATTATTCTGTTTCAAATGTGAGGGGCTGTAGATCAGAGCTACTCAAAGGAGCCTGTTCAGGAGATAAACTCATGCTGTATAATCAATGCACACTTTCCTTATGAGGAAAGTCTTGCTACAATCTCATATTTTGGTGTAAGCTCAACTTTTCATGGACTAACCAAAGACAGTTCATGGAAAGCACAGTTCCACTAACCACATCTTGAGTATTTGTGCTATAGATTATTTGGGGGGAAAAGCTTTCTTGAGATATAGTCATATACCATAGGGCTTCCCTGGCGGCTCAGACAGTGAAGAATCCACCTGCAATGTGGGACACCTGGGTTTGATCCCTGGGTTAGGAAGAGCCCCTGGAGAAGGGCAGGGCAATCTACTCCAGTATTCTTGCCTGGACAATCCCACGAACAGGAGAGACTGGCAGGCTACAGTCCACGGGGTAGCAAAGAGTCAGACGTGGCTGAGCAACTAAGGACACACACAGTCATGGACCGTGAAACTCATTTCAGTACATAAAAAGTGACTCATAGAGTTTGCAACCTTTGCCGTAATCAATTGTGGAACATTTTCGTCTTCATTGGGAACTTCAGAAAGAAACGTGATGCTCCTTTAGCTGTCACCCACCTGCCCTTCCATCTCTGTTTCCCCAGCTAATCACTAATCAACTTTCTATTACAGTATCCTTCTGGATATTTCATTTAAGGAGAGTCACAGAATATGTGAACTTTTGTGACTGGCTTCTTTTACTTAGCATAATATTTTAAGAGTTTCTCTGTGTTGCAGCATGTATTAGTAGTTCATTCCTTTCATGGTCAAATTCCAATTCTAGATATGGCTTGATTATTCATTTATCAATTGATGGACATAGTTTCCACCTTTTGCATATTATAAACAATGCCACTGTGAACATTCATATGCAAGTTTTTGTGTGGATGTACATTTTCAGTTCTATTGGGTATATGATTAGGAGTGGAATTGCAAAGTCAAATGGTAATTCTGTTTAAATATTGAGAAACTGTCAGATGGTTTCCCAAAAAGTGACTGCTCCATTTTATGTTCCTATAGCTGAGTATGAGGATTCTGATTTCTCAGTATTCTGCCAGCACTTCTATGGCTTTCACGGTCATCTTCCTGGATGTGAAATGGTACTGGGGTTTTGGTTTGCCTTTCCCTAATGACTGATAATGAGTATCTTTTCATGTGCTTATTGGCCATTTGTCTATAGTCTTCAGAAAAATGTCAATCCAGATATTTTTTTTGCCCTCCTTAAAATCAGCTTTTTTATTGAAATCATAAAAGTTCTTTCTTCTGGCAACAAGTCCCGTATCAGATCTGATTTGCAATTTTTTTTTCCTCTTCTGTGGCTTGTCTTTTCACTGTCTCGATAGTGTCTTGTTGCACAAGAGTTGTTAATTTTGATGAAGTCTAATTTGTCTTTTTTTGTTAATGCTCAAGCTTTTGGTGTTTCAGAATTCATTCCAAATTCAAGGCTGTGAATATTTACCCTTATGTTTTTCTCTAATAGTTTAGTTTTGACTCTGCATGTAGCTCTTTGATCCACTATTTAATTTTTGTACATGGTGTAAAGTAAGGGTCCACCTCCAGTCTTTAGCATGTGGTTATCCAGTGTTTCGGCACCATTTGTTGACAAGGCTACTCTTTCCCTATTAAATGATCTTGGTACCCTTGTTGAAAAATCAACTGACTATAGATACAGGATTTATTTC